TTATCATGTGCAGATGTTGAATTCTGCCATTTGTTGGGTTAGGTTAGTATCTCTTGTACTAAGTCACCTTTCAATAAAATCATTTATTATTATTATTAGGTTGTCTATGTATTGAACTTGCTGCACAAGTCATCAATACAGCGTTATTCAGTAGCCTAGCGGTTTCAAATCCTTCAGTATAATAGACACTAATATAAAAATGATAAATGATTTTATGATTATGATCATTAATGTCCGATGACTTCGAATATATCAACTCACGATGTCAGGGAGGGATTCCTGACGGCCTCGAAACCCTGAAAGTGGTGACACTGAAATCGAGGAAAATATATGAAACTTATGATTACTCGATATTTGATAGTTCATGTCTTTCTGCATTTACTTTACTCTAATATGTCATGTGTACGTTTTCCATTATTTATAAATCTTATTTTTCAGGGACAGTGACCGTATTGCGAATTTGTGGTACCGAGCCCCCGAAATACTTCTTGGAGACACAAACTATGGTCCTGCAATAGATCTATGGGCTGTTGGATGTATCATGGCTGAAATGTGGGCACGCCTGCCGATATTGCAAGGAAATAGTGAGCGACACCAACTCAGTTTGATATCCCAGATTTGCGGTTCGATGATACCTCAAGTTTGGCCTGGAGTCCAGCATTTAGAATTCTATGAAAGGATAAAATTATCCAAGATCCAGGAGAGAAAAGTGAGTTGAGTCTTAATTTTGTAGTTAGTTCAGATCATAGTCCAGTCATTTAAGGTTTTATCTGCGGAAAAATTCCTACTGGGCTGAATTTTGGTATACACCTTCATTATGGCGTTCTAATGAAGATGTGAAAATTCGACATTGATATCGTGCCGGCTAAAAAAGTTATGAAGTTCAAAAGGTAACGAAATTCAGTTTTTCGGGAATATCTCGCGACCTATGGCTTGGAGGTCAATAAAGGTCATTATGAAAATTGTTCCTCATACGATTATCTACAAAAAGTGTCGTCTCTTGCATTTTTCTGTGGAGTCAACCGTTTTCGGACTGGAGCGACTACATTATGATGATGCACTCGTTTCCGCACCACTTTTGGGGTAGGATGCAAGGCGCGTTTTTTTTACCTAGTTTCTTTTTATTTTATGCTCAATAGGGAAAAAATGTTTGCACATAATTTTCTTTTATATTCATTCGTCGTCGATATCCTCAATTTCAACTTCATCAAAAGTTGCTGTCATCGAGTCGACTCATTGCTGTATTTAAATCAACATCTAAATCATTTTCTTCACTAGTGGACTATGCGTTTAAGCATGACTGATCACGACACTGTCCACAAGCTTTAGAGCATCTCAATCCAATTTTTTTACAACCACATTTGCCGCCACGACCTTTTCTACAATTACACAAGATTGTGTTTAGCAGATCATCGGGTGCTGGTGGCAATGAAGTTGTTATTGGTTGTAATATATTATTTTTTAAGTCCCAACCCCACTGTTCTGATTCAATTTCTTTTTCTAGCCAGGTTTGTATTTGATAATAGACTCGAGTGGGTGGTAATAATTGAAATTTCACAACTGTGCTTTATCTTGTTATTTTCGCAAAGCTGCAGTATCTGTAATTGCCAATTGAATTTTCTGGTTTTGGAGCACCGTACACTGCTAGTAGAAAATGTATTCCAGCAGTGACAAGAGCATCTTGTGCGCAATTTTCTTGTTGGAATACTTCTGCAGAATTGTGCAAATTGGGTCTTTTTTCAAACATCTTCATGACTTTAATTTTTTCCTTTCCCGAAAAGTGTTTAAGTTGTGTCACATCCGGTCATAGCATGTAGGAACAGAATATTTTTCTTGCAGTGTGGCTACTTGTTGAGGCTCTCAGTCGAGTATATTTTTGATTCAACATTGTTTTTCCCTGGTTTAAAAAAAATGGATGTAGGTTGATTAAGTATTTGTGTGCGTGCTATGAGAAGTACCAACAGATCTATGTCTTCGCCAACGATAATTGTAGTGTTATTAAGATGTCAGCATCATCACGTGATTGTCTTATAGAGATGCCAACTTTCCCGAAATTATCAATGAGCATTTCAATTAATTTTCTTTTGTTAAATCGATTAGATAAACATTGTTCTTGACTGATAGGAACTTTCATCGATTCATTGAAGTGCACTTCACAAGATTCAATATTACCATCACTTTTAGCGACACTAGCATTTTTAATGTTTGTAGACCACGTCTAACTTCTACTATGTCACCACTAGATAACGATTCATTACATACGAAACATTCATCACTCATTATGAAAACTATTCAATAGCACAAAACTACGGAAAAAACGTCTTTAAAACTCAAGAAATATCTGTCAACTGAGCTAAACACAGTTCGACAGGCAGTAGCAGGTATAAAGGGACGGGTCTCAGAACAATAAAGAACGGAACATCTGACAGTGGAGGTCATTTGTATTATATATAGTAGATTTTACTGAGTTCCAAAATCTCTATAATATAAGTAAATTTGTCACAAAACGAGTAGAAGTTGGAAGTTTCAAGGAAACTTAAAGTACATTGATAAAAAGCAATAGAGTTTACGCCTTATATGTAGACGGTATACAATACCCTATGTGAGTGCATTCTACTTGCTTTCTCAGCGCTCTAGTCCGAAAACGGTTAACTTTACAGAAAAATCCAAGAGACATTTTTTGTAGATGATCGTATGAGATATAATTTTCATGATGACTTTTATTGACCTCCGAGCCATAGGTCGCGAGATATTCGCGAAAACCTGATTTTCGTGACTTTTGACCCTTATAACTTTTTTAGCCGGCACCATATCAATGTCAATTTTTCACATCTTCATTAAAACGCCATAATGAAGTTGTATACAAAAATTCAGCTCAGTAAGAATTTTTCCACAGATTGAGGTTTCAAAAACCTAAAATGACTGGATTATCAGTTTTTGGTTTTCTACTTCTCCATCTCCATACAAGAAAAGCCACAAGCCACATAAACAACAGTTGTTTTGTTATTTATCTATATAGAGGAAGATAGGTTAGGTGCACAAAATATCATATGTCATAGAATGTCTAGGAACTCGGAACATAAGTAAACAGAACAGCACGCTTCTGAAATATGTCATCTTTGTTTGTCTCATAAAGGTAACAGATTCATTGTCCTTTATTAGCTATGCTATAACCGATGTTGTCAAATGGTGAAATAGGAACGAATCCCTTCAACTGTTGAATGCATTATTTGATTCCTCTTTTTTAAGTATTTAAATAATTTTTTGAAGAGAAAGGTTGAAATAATAAGTTTAAAATGCGTTGTTTTATAGCTCTTTTATGAAAACTACTTGATTTTCGTCAGGAGGAACATTCCCCATTATGTAACCTACATTTCTTTGTTTTCAGGTGCGACAGTGCTTTGGTCCCTTCTTGGCAGATGCCCATGCGAGTGACTTGCTTGATAGACTTCTGGTGCTCGATCCTCTTCAGCGTATTAATGCAGCCGCAGCTCTGAATCACACTTTTTTTCAGACAGGTCCGTTAACATGTGATTTGAGTAATATGTTGAGTAGCTACTCTCAAAGCTTGCTGGGATGTTTTACTTGGGCACAAGTCAAACGAAGAAAAGAATCATGAAGTGAATAAATAATATAATATAATATGGGAGTTTTTTCACATTCCACTGATGTTAATAAGGGTGTATACCTTGTAGCTTGATATTGAACATATATACATACATTTCAAAGTGGTAGTATGCTGGAAATATTTTCATAATTATATATAAGTTTGTTAATCTTCTCACATTTCTGTTGAAAAATAAAGATTCGTGATAGTAGGGTACATTTGTCATAATCTTATTCATTGGAGTTTCATCGGTCGTTACCTAATAATTTTTCTCTTTTTTTCCGCTTTTCTACAAAGATGTATTTTCCCTTTACGTTTACGCAGTTAATTTTATCAAGATGTTATTTAATTTATGCAGACAAAAACTTTTCGTGGCGTTCACCTTCGTTGCCTTGAGAAGAATCCCCTTTGGAAATCTCTTACTTTCCTTAGTTACCAACTCTCAATTTTCATTAATTCAAATTTTCAACTTTAATATCACAAAAATTATCTGTTCTACTATTTTGCTATTAGTTCCAAAATTTAAATACATTTTTACTCAACAATTATGTACATGAATGGTTAATCTCACTTATGTCTAAATATCAAAATTCTTCAAAAGTATCACTTGATATCCGTATCTGAGGAAATGGTTTACAAGAATATTATTTAAATTTTTCATCATTTCTATATACTTACAATAAGTTTATTATGTCTTTTCCAATTTTACATAACAGATATCATTTTGCTTTCATCTGACATTAATCTACAACCTATATCGATTGTCTGTTTTTTGAAAATTAATAAAATTTGGTACACAAATTATGAAATTTGAATTTCCCACTCTTTTGTACTTGTTTCCTGTCAAGTCTGTGGATTTCAATACATGTACAGAGTGATCTCGCTGTACTTCTGTATCTGAATTTTTCCGTGATGTTGTGAATATCTCTACACATTGTTATCATTATATACAGTAAAATAAATTAACGGGGTGTCTCAGTCAAAAAATCAAAAACCAAAACTGCTTTACTTTGCCAAGCTTACGCTTCTAATGGGAAGCTTCTTCTTCAGTAGTCAGAAGATGGCAAATGAATATATATATTCATTGTGAAAGTTCCTTATTATTGTTGACGTTCCAAGTTTTTCTGTTCAGTTATTGTGAAAACAATATACAGCTACCTGACTGAGTCATGGCCGGTGTGAGAAATTGTATAAAGTTTGGATCGGTGTATGCCAGAGAAAGTATTAGGAAAAAGGGAATAGAATCTTTTGTTTGCAATTTTACGTAGTACGGCTCGAATAATGTGACAGACTGATAACAGATTTATACACATCTACTGTACAATTTGAGGGAGGGGCTTCTCACCGGCCATTCCAGCAGCTGTACAAAGTGTGAATAATAAAAAATAAGATATAACAAATATACATCATTTCTATTATGTCTAATAACTCATAACGATACATTTCATTTTCATTATAAAATATGCCTAAGAATACATTCACAGGCACTAGGATAAGAGAAACTTTTTCCATCAAATTCGTTTTTCTTCACATCATAGACTAACACATTCATCTTGGTACGTTTCTGTTTGCATTCTGTCGCGAAGTTATAGGGAAGTGCCGTTTGAGACATACAATGAGATTCCCCCTGATGTCCCCTGTAAAAAAATATGATTAGAAAAACAGTGAATGACTTTTTTCCCGAAGATTTCCATTTTAATTAGGAACGACGACGATGTACTACTATTTTCGCTAATTATAGTCGGATTAGTAAAACATCAGAGAGGACGCGTGCAGAATAAACAACTCGTATTTTTTCAAAAATAGTCGGATTGTTATGCATACTACTTCAAATTCAAATCAAAAGAAGAGGGATGCTGAATGCAGAAAATAAAACATAGTTTAAAGCGTGTCAATTTGTTCAAAAAAATTGTTACATGATTTCTTCTTTTCAGCGATCCTGGAAGTGCACAGAGTCAACAACAAGAGCCAACCGCACATTTGTGGTTCCAGTTAGAAGACTCAGAGTTCCCAGGCTACACCTAACATAACCACGGAGGCAGCTATAGCTATCTGCGTGACATCCGGGTCCAGGATATGCACCGCGCTGATGAGGCCAATAGCTAGAAACACGTGTCCGCGGTTTGTCCCCATTTTGTGAAGTGTTGTGTCCACAAATTGTTTCATTTTTGATGTATATATATATCACACATATTCGTGACTTTTGACCCTTATAACTTTTTTAGCCGGCACCATATCAATGTCAATTTTTCACATCTTCATTAAAACGCCATAATGAAGTTGTATACAGTTGGAAGATAGGTTGCACTATATCGTTTATTTGAACTATACAAGGAAGATTATCAAATATGTTAATATTCTTGTATATCAATTTCCGAAATGGTACGCACCCACAAACATTCAAAATAATTTCAGTCTCCTTGTACTTGTTCCCATTTATGATGATATACTGTTTTCCTTCATCTACTATTGACAGCGGCTTCACTTTTATATTTATCATAGAGTTACACATTTTGCACGATTTTATGGGCTCAACAAAGATCTCTGGATGGTCAACATGGCCAACAGTTTGTAAAAAGCTCAAATCGTTATGTAGTTTTTCATTGATTTCCGCCATTGGATACGAGTGATTATTCCAGCAAATGTTATCATAGCAACCCTTTCTCAAAATTTCTTCTCGAATAACTGTGTAGTTGTGCTGAAAAAAAATGATAATCAATATCTGAAAGAAAAATATATCAGAAGCTGAAATCACCAGTGAAGTCTATAAAATATTTGCTTCATAACCAATATTAAAGACGGAAATCCATGATTTTTGGATCAATACGGAATTATTAACTGAAAACTTTGAGCAAATATTGTGATTTCATTATTTTCAAAACAGACTTTTAGTTTGTCTTATATGGAAATATTTCCAAAAAACTCAACAAGTTTCTTTATTGAACTTTTTTGAACATTTCCACCTTTTACAATCTGAAAAAAAATTTTTATAGGAAAACTTTTTACAGGTGTAGAAAGGTCATCCATATTTGGAATAACGCAATAGAGAAACATGGAGAATCTAGAGCTGTTGCGCTTGATATTTCTAAGGCCTTTAACCGTGTATGTTATGAGGGTTTGCTGGCCAAACTTTGATGTTATGGCTTGTTGGATCATTTTTTTGTATGGCTCTTTAACTTCGTGAACGAACGATCCCCGCAAGTGGCCGTCGATGGATATCTCTTGAATAGTTTCACCATCAACGCTGGTGTTTCCCAGGGATCCTTACTGTCCCCAACCCTCCTTTTATTGTATATCAACGACTTACTGGAAAAACCAATAAGGGGGCGTCCAAAAATTACGTGAGGTGTTTAAGGGGGGAGAGGGTCGACTCAAATCTCATCTAATCTCATGTTAGAGAAAGGGGGGGTCCCGGCGAATATCACGCAATTTTTTTTCTGATTGAAACAAAAAAAAATACTATTTTCGTCCATTTAATCCAGATTGTACATGCTTAAGATTTAATCTTAAGCGTAATATAATACGATTAAGATCATTCACTAAATCCTTCGAAAGAAAACAATTTCATTCATACTTCGACCGATTCAACCGCTGAATGCCTTCATCAGCACGCCTTATGATCTCTATTGCCCAAGTGTACGAGATGATTTAGAGCAGAGGTCTCCAAACTTTGAAGCCTTCGGGCCATAATGATTTTTTCAGTTTGATCCAAGGGCCAATTTCTGCCCTTAACTATATTTCTAGACTAGGATAGTCGCAAAGTGCGTGACCTAAGCAAACTTACGTTTTTTTGCATTTCAATTATTATTGTGTGTTGTGACACTTAACGACATCTAGTGGTGAGTAGTGGTACTATGTACTATCTTTTTCAGCTACATGCTAAGTGGCATTAGGCGTAATTGAATATTTGGAATTACCTCGTTGGTTCGAGAAAGTTCTTGTTCTAGCTAGTGTATTCAGATCACCTCGAGATGGCAGTAATAATTGCATATAAAAAGGCTGCGAGTTAGTCTGCGTAGGAAAGGCGAAGGAAGCGAAACTGTATATTGTGAAATAAAGTAACACCCGTCAATAAAAGTATTTTGATTTGACTTATTGTTTTTATGTGTGTTTTGTTAGTATGGAAAAGAAGCGAAAAATCGACAGTGAATGCAGAACGTTTCAAGAAAAATGGAACTTTCAGTATTTCGTGATTGAGTCCAGTAATAAGGCGCTATGTTTAATTTGTAATGAAACCAAAGCTGTTCTCAAAGACTATACCATTAAACGACACTATGAATCGAAACATCTTCAAAGTTACTCCAATTATACAGGAAGTTTGCGGAAGGAAAAATTTGAAGCTTTGAAACGCGGACTCAAATCGCAGCAATCTTTGTTTACCAAAGCGAATACTGAACAAGAGTCTGCAACTCGCGCCAGCTTTCGTGTGGCTCTTGAAATCGGAAAATGTTGCAAACCATTCATCGATGGAGAAATGATAAAAGAATGCTTGATTGCAGTAGCCGAAGAAATGTGACCCGAAAAGGCAAATTTATTTAAAAGTGTCAGTTTGTCAGCAAACACCGTGGCTCGGCGGGTGCAAGACATCGCAGAAAATATATCATCTCAACTGTCTGACAAAAATGGATTTCATGAGTGGTTTTCTCTAGCATTGGATGAGTCAACGGATGTGTCAGATACTGCTCAGGTGTTGATTTTTATTCGCGGAGTAGATAAAAGCTATGAGGTGTATGAAGAACTTCTTGATATTGATAGTATTCACGGCATGACAACTGGGCAGATATTTTTAAGGGAGTTGAAAATGCCATTAATAAAAAGAACCTTCGATGGAGAAATTTGAAATCTATAACAACTGATGGAGGCAAAAATATGTATGGTAAAAATAAAGGAGTGGTTGCACTTGTGTCAAAGGATGTAGGAAATGATGGTGGTTCAAAACCATTAGTCTTACATTGTATCATTCATCAACAGTCCTTGTGCGGAAAATGTTTGGATATGTCTGAAGTTCTAAAACCAGTCATATCAGTTGTTAACTTCATCAGATCAACTGGGCTGAATCACCGACAATTCCGCGAGTTTATTCAACAGATTGGAGAAAATGATTTACCATATCATACTGCCGTACGCTGACTTAGTTGCGGAATAGTCCTCAAGCGCTTTTTTGAACTTCGAGCAGAGATCGAAATTTTTTTAAATGAGAAGCAGCGCCTTTTTGCCGATTTAGAAAATAGTGAATGGATGTGGAAGTTAGCCTTCCATGTCGATTTGACAAATCATATGAACGAACTGAATTTGAGATTGCAAGGAGAAAATCAGATTCTTCCTATTTTTATACACCAATATCAAATCCTTCAGGCAGAAAATAATACTATTTCAATCGCAATTACGTAAAAAATGTTTCACACATTTTGAAACATGTGAAATATTCAGCCACACTACAGAGACTGAATTTCCCGTTAATTTTGCAATTGAAACTTTGAGTGCTTTGAAGATAAATTTTGATACTCGTTTTTCAGATTTTGATGTCATTGCGAATGAAATTAAGCTTTTTCAAAATCGTTTTGATTCTGACATTGAAACCCTGGCTCCGGAAGTCCAAATGGAAATTATTGATTTACGGTGCAGTGACATGCTTAAGAACAAATATCAAAATTCATTTTTGTTGGAATTTTATAAGAGTCTTCCACTGGAACAATTTGATAATTTGCATACATTTGCTCGTGGGTTGTTTTCTGTTTTTGGTACTACTTACTTGTGTGAGAAAACGTTTTCCAAGATGAAGTATATAAAGAATTTCTACAGATTTCAATTAACCGATGAGCATCTTAAATCTCTTTTGATAATTGGTACAAGTAAAATTTATCCACAACTACAAAGTATTGTCGGTGGAATATCACAATTACATAAATCTCATTAGTGTTTTTTTTTTTAATGTGATTCATTGCAATTATTTGTTAGTTATTAATATGCTTAAACTTAGATACTTAAGTTAAGTTTTCTTTGTCATCATTTCTGTCGTTAAGTTTTACCTTGCAAGTAAATAAAACCGAGTAATTATCATTCTGTGTTTTCTTCTTCAACTTATCACAGCAATAGTAATAACAATTAGCTAATCATTGGCTGTCTCGGGCCAGATTGATGACAGTAAATCATTGGCTGTCGCGGGCCGGATTGATGACACTGGAGGGCCGGATTTGGCCCGCGGGCCGTAGTTTGGAGACCCCTGTTTTAGAGAAAAGATGCTACAGTACATGCGGTATTTACTTTGCATCTAGCACAAGAGCTGCAGAGCACAGGCGAGCGAGCAGCCCATAGCTAAGCAAGCGCGTATGTTCCGCAAAGTGCGACCCTCACGGATTGTCACAAGACGAGCTAATGTGTTACTGTGCGCAAGCGCCAACGGCTTAGAGTGGCTAGATCAGAACGAAGTTGAAGGAGCAGATGATTTTACTGAAAATCATATGGACATGTTGGTTCCAATAGTCTCTCTTGAGACCACGCATGATTCTCCATGGACTGAATTAGAGTAGATATTCTTTTTTCAATCACAGTAGTTACGATTTAAGTATTCTATTGTTAAACTTTTATTACACTTATAATTAAACTCTCAGCAATATTGATTACTAGTCTTAACTAGTCGTACATAAAAGCAGGAAGCAATTTTTTTTTTCTTTTCACAATAACCATCCAACGTAAGAAACCCACATTTTGAAAAATCTCACGTGAGATTGGGGAATGGGGGAGGGGGTTGAGTAAAATCTCACATCTCACCAAGGGGGGAGGTAGGGACAGAAAATTAAAAAAAAACACCTCACTTAATCTATAGACGCCCCCTAATACAATATATTGCTTTGCTGACGACTACACTTGTCTCGTCATTCCATTTGCATTCAAGGACATCAGCTATGGAGTCACATTTTCACCGACAGCAGGAGGTTGCATATCTTAATGAAGATCTAGAAGTGATTTTAAATTAGGATGTAAGTAACCAGGTTCAATTCAATGCCACAAAAACCCAGGCATCGATTTTCTCCAAGAAGATAAATGTCTCTGAACTGGATATAATAATGTCAGGTCAGATAATTCCGCTTTCTGCTTCGATGAGTCTGTTGGGGGTTAAAATGTACACCAATACGTCTTGGCACAATCATGCCGCTGGAATTGCAAAGGCTGCTTCTCGAAAGCTTGGAACACTGTTCCGAATCAGAAAACTGTACACACCTCAGCAATTTTTGTTGCCTTATAAAGCTCCGAATATTACGTGCAACCTTGATAGCCTGGAACATCGAAGAAAGGTTGGAGATTTGTCTCTCTTCTATAGATACTTTCACGTGACTTGGCATATTTGATTCCACCAAGAGCGGACCATATCAGAAATAAGTGACGGACTGTGGCTGCTCAGTTTTGAGGTTCAACTCAGTACACTTAGAACTTCACTGTTTAATAACTCTTTCATCTGGAGAGCTGCGTTTATGAGGAATGAACTTCCAGAGTTCCATTAACAAAATTGATACGATTACAGGATATAGAAATATAAAACAATCTCCAAATACGCAAACTTTGCACAAATTGCATATTGAGCATTTTACCTCAGTACAGTGACCGGATCAAAGTTGCAATGTCAGTGTATAAATCTTCATGAATATTGAGGGAAGTCAAGATCATAAAGAGAAAGTATTGGGAAATTCATGATAAGCTAGGTTTATTTGGTCAAGTTTGAATATGTGTGAGCCACAATAAACCCTTGCTGGTTGTTGAATGTATATTAGAAAACAACTATTTCCCAACTACCACTTACTAATATCACCATGGACATTGAATTGACTGCGGCATACATTTACCCTACGTAGGATAGTCTGGCAGATGCTTTTCGTTCATTCAGCAGCAGGACCACGCTAGAAACAATCCAGTAGATCACCTAGGAATGTGTTAGAGGTAAGACGTTAAGAGGTAAGACCGCGTTAATCCTTAGCTCGCAAAAGTTTCGACTTCTGAGGGTTGTCGTTCGTAGGGGTGCGACAGCTGGTTAACGGAAAAACAGATTTTGAACAGATTTTCTAAACCTACAGACCTGTTTCGGAGCATTATCCCTCATCAATGCAGGTGGGTTTCGCAGATACTTTTCGTGCATATTGCAGCAAGTCCTTGCTGAAATTCAGTGGGCAGATCTCCTACAGACTGGTTAACATCATATTTCTTCCCAAGTCAATTGATTATATGAAATATCCTGCTGTAACGATTAAATGAATCGAATCGATATCAGCTGCTGTGTCACAATGAACCTTTGCGGGTTTCAGTGCAAAATAACAAAAATAATTGCCATCAGGTTGGGTTGAATTGAATGTAATAAAAAACACCGAGTTAGGTTAGATTCATTGTGTCGACCTTTGAATCTAACCTAACCCAGCAGCAATTATAATTTATTTGAAGGTGGTTGACAATGTTTCATGATGCATTTCATCAGTTCGGACTCCCATTATCTAATATGATATGAATTGATTTGAAATCCTTGAAAGAATCTGTAAGAATTGAAAAAAGATTAGCTGGAAAAACAATTATATTAAGTAAAAAAACTGAAGAAAAAAAATCTGTCTAAAATCTTTTTTTCCGTTAATCAGCTGTCGCCCCCATACGAACGACAACTGTCAGAAGTTGAGAAACTTGTGCGAGCCAAGGACTAATGAGGTCTTACCTTTCAACGTGTGATTCCTAACACGGTTGCAGAATCATCTCAGCTTCAACCCGATAAATTCTCTCGAGAAAAATATCTGGTCAAGGCGGGAATCGAACCCACTGCCTTCCGATCGTGAGTTGGGCGCACTACCACCGCGGTCAACTCCACAATGAAATAAATTACAAGCAACAACCAAAGAAATAAAAAAATTGAACTAACACAAGATGAAAATTAAAAAAAATATTGACAAGAGGAGAAAATTGAAAATTGAAGATTCCAAACCAAGTTACTTCACTCGGAGACGATTGTGGATACTATAAATCGAAACGTCGTGAAGTAACTTGGTTTGGAATCTTTTAAATGTTAATTTTCTTTTCTTGTTGATATTTTTTTTATAATTCTCATTTCGTGTTAATAGTCCATTTTATTTGGTTTTTGCTTGTATTTTATTTCATTGTAAATTCAGTTTTTTTGCTTAAAATAATCGTTTTTTTCAGCTAATATCTCTTTAATTTTTTAAAGAATCTTTCAGGAATTTGAAATTAATTTATATCATATTAGACAATGGAAGTCCGAACTAATGAAAAACAATTATAATTTTCTATTGGTAACAAAATCAGATGTTATTCAAACTCACCCCATTGATTACTTGAACTGCGATAAATCCAAAAAAAGCTAGTAATTTTCTCGTCATTTTTTTGATTGTGATTCTGAATTTATTCCACTTGGAGTGAATAACAACGTCAGGTTTTCTCTACTTATCGACACGAAGTTTAAACGATAACTGGAAACCACAGTTTCCTGAAATATATTTAACACAACGAAATAACTTCTTTGGGGAATGGCTTATAGTTAACCCAATGAATAACTCAAGGATGGATAACCTAGATGGAGCTGGGGAAGAGAAAAAATTACTGTTTATGGGAGAAGGAATGAATATGCACGGAACCCAGATTTCATTTCGAACTGTTTCTCCAAGAAATCCAGTACTCAGTCGCCCGACCGTTGCCCAATTGTATTGGGATCTGAAGGAAATGCACTTTACTTTTTGTAATGGGAGTTCCCTAAAACGTAAACTTGTAATTGGGGAATTGGGAATCAGAGCTGCCGTTCTTGAACATTCAATGGTGTAACTAACTTCGCATGGACACACGTTCTCGCTAGAGTGCTTAGTCTGTGAAAGTTTTTTTGATCATATCGGTTCATTGGTAAAGGGTGTATCTGGAAATAGAACTGGGAAAGTTCAGATGCCAATTACAGATGGAAAGTATTCCTACAAATTGTAATTAACTGATGAATGATTAATAACTAATCAAATGTATCACATACTGGGCTCTGACGTCATGCAGTTGTATGGAGTTTCTCCCATGTTAACATTAGTGAAACCTCTAACCCGAAGCGATCTTACCGAAACCACAGAGTGCCCATGGTTGCTGTTGATATTTTCGCAAATTTGTGTCATTTCCTAAAACCAAGTGTGGACTATTTCCGCACTTGGCCATACCATACAGCCAGAAATACAGACCAACCGGTCAACATATATTGGTTCAGGAAGTCACGCAGATAGCTAAAGTTGTCTTCGTGGTGACGTTAGTGAAAGCACTGACTGGAGGCGATCTGACGCCTGCCTTGTGTTGATGACACGGTGCATTTGTGTTGTTTGCTTCAACAGATTGTTGCCCACTCTTGCACCCTCTTCAGTTAGCATAATTTCGGAATACTTTGAACATGATTTTTTACTCTGAAGCAATATTTTCATCATATACTGAACCCGAATGTCACGCAGATAGCTGGAGCTGCCTTCTTGGTGACTTCACGTGAATCTCTAATCTTATGTGATCTGGCCGAAACCCCAAGTGTACTTGAATTCTCTTGACGACCCCATCAATTTCGGAAATATATTTTTGTTAATTATCACATTTGGCTATACCGTACCGAATACGGCTATTGAATCAGATACACGATTCACATTGGGTTTGAATCGCTAGAGATTTAATCCATTTGGAAGTTTTTTTCATATAACCGCAGTTCTCCAACTGGGAAAGTTCTTAAATAGTGAAGTTCCAGGTGTACTGAGTTGAACTTGGAAAACATGAGCAGTCATAGTTCGTCACGTACCTATTTGTGATATGTACCGCTCTTGGTGGAATCGCATGTTCCAAGTACCTTCCGTGAAAGTATCTATGAAAGAGAGACGAATTTCTAACCGCTCCTCGATGTTCCAGACTATCAAGGTTGCAAGTAATGTTCGTTCCTCCAATCAGGCGGATGAGTCTTTTCTGGATGGAATCTAGCAACAATATGGATCCCTGGGGAATACCAGTGTTGATGGTGAAGGTATTTGAAAGATATCCTTCGACGTCCACTTGCAGGGAACGTTCTTTCGAAAAACTGGAGAGCCATACACAAAAATAATCTGACAAGACATAGCTTGACCAGCACATCTGTATGTGATGCCACACATCTGTATGTGTAGAGTAGGGAGGGGGAGTGTAAGCCCACAGCACTTAGACCCCATGTGACCCACTGTACATCCTCCCGAGGAGTTGTCCTGCTAGGTCATAGTCCACCTTGTCCTTTCCAGGAAGGTGGACAGGTCACTAATAGACATCTCCTTTAAATCGGCAGGTGTAGGCCAAGACTTGCCGAACACACACTCTCTTATTGACGATAACACCGGGCACTCGCATAGGACATGCCTGACAGTCAAATCTTCCTGTTCAGACATCCTGCATATAGGTGTGTCCAGTAACCCCATATTATGGAGGTATTTCCTTAGTTGACAGTGGCCAGTCAGAAATCCTACTGTTAATCGTAGATTTTTGCCGGTCATCGCCAGATATTTCTTTGGCGCCAGCTTCCCAAGGTTGCCCAGGGTGTTCTTGGCAAGATTACATTCTTTGATTCCATCCCATCTCTTTAGGGATTGAGCATGGGTGAAACATTGGGCTAGTTCCGCAATTGTCGAAATCATCACGCCGTAGATGCCACTAGGTCCTAAAATTTTTAGTCCAGCCGCTTCCTTGGCTAAAGAGTCGGCAATGCGATTAGCTTTACTTCTGTCGTGCCCTTTAACGCACCTCAGGATGATGTTATTATCTACCGAGGCTTTGGCTAAATTTTGGTGGCACTCTAGTACTAACCCTGAGGTAACACGCTGTCTGTTCAAGGCTAATAGGGCTTGTCTGCTGTCAGTGCAGATTGTTATGTTTTTGCCAGAAATTCCTTTCCTGATTATTTCTTTTGTGGCGATTGAGAAACCTGCCAGTTCTGTTTGGACCACGCTGGTATGTTTTCCCATTCCCCACTTAATCCTTAGGCTTAGTGATCTGGAGTACACTCCACATTCTGAGCCTTCTTTGGTCTGTATATATGCGTATGGCATTTGTGGCATCTGACTCTGTGTTCTGTTTTATTTGTATTTTGTAGGGTTTATTAAACACAAACCTGGGTTCAATTGCATCACTGGTTGCCTGCAGCAGAGGTTGCGCAGTAAGCGCTTCTTGCCATAGGCTCAGCCTCAATTGACCCATTCCTACTTCGAGGTTCACACCAGCCGTGCGCAATCGTAATATGGCCATTAACGCAACCTCCTTAACGTACAGATCCAGAGAGGTCAGACCCGTAATTAATTCCATTGCCGTAGTTAGTGTTGTTCTCACGGCTCCTTGATGTTTAAACAAGCCAGTCGCTGTATTTGATATAATTTTCGGATGACCGTTGCTTGTAAAACTTTCGGTCCCCATGAAATGGCTGTGTACGTTAACATAGGTCTTATTATTCCATTGTAGATCCAGGTGACCACACGGGGTGAAAGACCCCATGCGCGTCCAACTGTCCTCCGACATTGCTCATAAGCCACATATGCTGTTTTTGCTCTACTCTGTAGATGAGAGTTCCATGTTAGCTTCCTGTCGAGGATAGTACCAAGGTATTTCACCTCTTCAGAGAAGTTTAATTTACTTTTGAAGATTTTGGGAGGTTTTAAGCCCAATAAGTTTCTTTTCCTGGTGAAAAGAACCATCTCACATGTCAGCGTGTCTCACAGCGTGTCACACAAGCTGTTACTTGAAAAATTACAATATTATGGGGTGAGAGGAGTTTCGTAAACACTTATCAAATCGTACCTCACAAATAGATATCAAGCTGTTTCTTGCAATAATACCATTTCTAGCTTCAAACCTGTAGTACATGGAGTCTCTCAAGGATCTATCCTTGAGCCCTTACTTTTTATCATCTACGTAAATGATTTCTGCAATTTTATGGCGCCAAATAAAACAATTCTCTATGCTGATGATACCACCTTAATCTACAGTGGAAATAGTATCAACAAACTAACAGAAATATCGGAAGACATTGAAAATAAAGCTAATACTTGGTTTCTAACAAATAATATCTTAAATTATATTTTATACTCATCCGATCTGAAATTACTTTTGCTGTGTGTAAGCATATGTAACAAATGTGTCATGACAAACATGTAAAGTGTAATGTGGTTAAATAAACTTCTATTCTATTCTATTCTCAGTCTTCTTGGGATTTATCAACAGTGAGTGTTCCTTACACCATGTTTCTATTAATTTGAGCCCATCCTGCTCTCTATCGCACAGTGTGTTCACAAATTTGCCGGTCTACAAGATAACTATGTCATCTGCATATGCAATTGTGTAGAATCCATTATTCTTGAGTTGATTAATCAGGGTATCCATCATGCCACACTCGGTCAAAGGCCTTAGAAATATCAAACGTAAAAGCTCTTGACTCTCCATGTTTCTTGATTGCGTTACTCCAAATATGGGTGACATACGATAGAAGGTCGCCTGTTGATTTTTGTTTCCGAAAGCCACATTGATGATGTTGAAGCCTTCAAGATATTCGAGGATATGGTGGTTTCTCAATGATTCTTGATATCACTGATAGCAAAGCGACTGGTCTATAGTTATTTGAAAGATTTTTCCTGCCTTTTTTGGGAATTGGCTGAAAGCGAGCAATTTTCCAACAAGCTTTGTCAATGAGTTATGAGGTGGGTGAGATGCTCTCTTAGTTCAGTGAATTCGAACATCACCACCAGCCGAGTATCATCGACAAAATTATATCACATCAAAGCTATATAGTATAATGAACGCAACCATTTTGAATTATGGGATTATCTTGTTTCTCGCTCACAGGGAACGATGACTGAATACAGAAATATTATGTTGTACAACAAGTGAGAAAAACGACATATTTATCACAAGCGCAGAAGTTTGTTGCAAATCAAGCGAGTGAGAAATGTCATTTTCTCACGCATTGTACACTGTACTTTTTCTACGGTTGCGTTGTTTTCAAGTATTGAAAATAAAAATGCATATATAATAATACTTGAATGTCATTAACTCATTTTTATATTTCATTAAAAATAGTAATTAATAGTTATATTTATACAATTTAGTAAAGTAATTCCTGGTATATCGTTTTGTTTCAACATGTTTTCGGTAATTGAAATATTAGCTGCGGTCGAAGTTGAAGTTGATGGGGAAACGTACTGAGCTTCCAGAGCATTGTTGTGTTCAGGTTCTAATGGCGCTGTAGGCGGAATGGATTCTACTATACTTTTTGAAATTTTCATTTTGCTAGCTATGGATTTGTCGATATAAGATTCAGCAACATTGCTGTATTTCCAACCCCCATGGCGTTTTAAAGTTAAAAGATCTGCCCCTGCATTAACTAAAATAGTCGCAGACAACCTTCGGAAACAGTGGCCAGTATATAATTCAGGGTTCGGTAATTGCAAAAATTTCACTATTTCTTTCGCCATGGTGCCAAATTTATTTATTCCCACAGGTTGTTTCGTACATTTGCTATTTTTGTATTAAAAAAAAGTGTTTCATTTATGCATGGTCGAAGCTTCACATATTTTTTGTAAATTTGGTAGAATTCTCCTGTGACTGTGAAATTTCTAGGAACCTTGGTTTTAGTATCGGGTGATTTTATTCAATGGGCCGAATTAAGATCTTCCATGTCATCAATTTTTAATTTTCGAAGTTCACCACAACGGCATGCCCTTGTAAGGCCAATAGCTAAAGCAGCCTGAAATCAAAACCAAACATTGATTTTTCGATAACAATTTAAAAATTTTCAATTCATATCTTGGTAAATTTTCGTTTTGTGGACACCCGGCGATTTTAAAAAATTTTTTCAAAATCGCCGGGTGTCCACAAAACGAAAATTTACCCTGGAGGTGTATTTTCCAACTCTAAATCTTCGTATTTCATTATATTCAATAACTAATAAATCTGAACTGTTAATACTATAACAATCAACAATAAAACTATTTTCGTTGGGTAAGTTGACAGCAATAATCATGCAGTTCTTCGGTTTTGTTGTTATGGAAACGCCGACAATGGGCTACTTTGATATTGCACGCAAATCGTTGGCGTAGCGTTGTCAACATGGAGAACGTGTCATATGAATCTGACATGTAACAATTCATGACTGACTTGGGTTATCGTAATAACAGTGAGGAATTATTTCTCACTGTAATGGTGGATATTTCTCACTGCGTGAGAAATTTTTCGTTTTGAACGTATGAAAGCGATGAGAGAAGTGACACATTGTATAGCATCCGTAGAAAAACGATTTTCTATTTGACCTTCGACCGTATCACAACGCCATTGGGAGTCTTCTCTGTTTTTGACGAAAACTGATTTGAGTTTATTATCGATCACTTTCAAATTTTTCTCATGGGGAATATGATATGTGGTAAAGGCATGAAAATTCACCACGGAATAAATTGATTCCATAATTTCTATGTAAATTGGAAACATTCAACGTCATTATGCATTTCTATAAACTGGTCAATAAACTGAGTCATTCAACATTACTGGGTTTTTTCTCTAGTCTGAAAATTCCAATACTCTCAATATCAATTTTACTGTGTGACAGATACATTTCTGTGTTTTTTGGGAAAAAAAGATTTTGACCTCCATTCAAAAATATTTGGTAATCTTTGTTATATTACATCTAGCCAAAGAAAATATCTTTCAATACATTTCAATAATGGGGCTGTGCGTAATAACTGAATCAGTTTATTGATAGATATTACGTTGAATTTGTGGTGATGATGACGTTTTTCAGGAAACTGAGGTTTTCATTCATCGCCAAATGATACAAGCACCTATCAATAGCCTATAGATATATATCCACGAAACGAAGTTAAGAGCTGTAGTTACGAACATGACAAAAAAAGCAATGTTATATTATTTGCTTTTGCTGATTCCAGTAATTCATGGGGTAAGTTATATTTCACTATAAGTATGTAGTAGTAGTAGTATTTCTTAATTTTTTTTCTGATTGATTCGGCCGTTACTTGATGAAGATCCATAGTAATTTCAAAAACTACACCTCACGATTTGATCTTCACAAACTTCATTTGAAAAATACATCACAACATGTTTTTCACAAACTTTATTTGAAAAATACATCACAACATGTTTCGCTAGCACAGTAGCTTTCTCAAATGTAACATTCATACACTTGAGCTAGCGAAACATGTTGTGATTATATTTTTTCAAATAAAGCTTGTAGAGATCAAATCGTGAGGTGTAGTTTTTAAAATTTCTTTGTTTCTCCAGGTTTATACAAATAAAAATAGAAATGTGTCAGATGCGTCATAAAAATACGCATTACAAAGGTTCTCATGATAAAATAACATTAAAATAAATAACAATAAAAGAGAAGAAAAAGCGAATTGTTCACAGATACAGATTGAAATGCGCATTAAAAACTACATTGAATATTATAATGAAAGTATGCTGTGGATATAGATCGATTAGTGTAGGTTAGAGTACTCGTTAATAGAACAAAAAGGATTTTTCAGTAAAAACAACTTTGCCTCATTTTTGAACGAATTCAGACTTGTGAGGTTTCTGATGTCGATACGAAGATTATTATATAATTTCATTGGCATTATAATGTTCACATGACAAATCAATTTTTTCGAGAATAACTTGCCAAATATTATTTTTGATTATCTCAATGCAGATCAATGAGGATCATTCCACTGCGATTTTCTACCAAAAATGTAAATATTGGAGGTCCAAAGTTCAACTGTTTGAAAAATAAAACAGACTTCGAACTTAGGAATAGGAAATTAATGAAATAATGAAGGCTTTGTGATATTTATTGTGATTATTCATTTCGGATATTTTCTGCAGCTCATAACATTTTGCTTTTCCACAGTATCAGTGATCACATTCATTAATCCACTGGCTCTTTCCTTCTCATTGTTTACTGTTCAGATTCCGTTCCTTTTCCGTTCCAGTCTTATTCTGATATTTGTGCGAACTGATCCCAAAAATGTCTTTACCGATTTTGTAACAATTTTCACCTTCATATGGTAGTGATAGTAACTCAACATTACTATGAATGTTAGGTGATCTATTTTAGTCGGTTTAGAACAAATCTAAAGCTATAAAACGACCTAGTGTGACCTTTTTAAATCGGAGATTGGAGAATATGGTTGATCCTAAGGTTCTTAGATCCTGTTGTTTTGGACTGTTTCACATTCAGAGTTGGGGAAACTCCTATCATGCCCTCAGAATATTTATTCTCCAAAAAAGAGCTGTGGAACTCACCAGTACCATATTTATTTCAAATATAATTTTCAACTGTCTCCAAAGAATTCTCTCAAACTGAATCTAAACAACATTTCCATAAGAAGTCGTATTCTTAAGTTTGATCAATGATAATACAAAATGAAGTTTCTTTTGTAGAGTCAATGTTTCAATACTCTTGAGGATGTTCTCTAGTTGTTATTCTTGAGTCAAGTATTTTTACCTAAAGAAACAAATTGTTCCTTCAGATGATTCAAATGATGGAGAGTTTTCATCATTTGAAAGTGAGGAAAATTGTTATAGAGAATCGTCGACTCTCTAATACCAACTATATTCTACATATTAAATGCTTGATATACCTAATTTTACAATTTAAAGTACCTACATTTCAAGTCACTGATTTTACCTAAGTTTGTAATTATCTGAGCACATGTCGCAGTTTCCACATTTGAAAAAATATTATTCAATTCTAATTAATCATTCAGTAAATTACCAGAATTTCTGAATCTATTGATTTCTAAGCATTCTAGAATATTGAGTTTCAAACTCTCCTCTTCTGAATGTAACACGTCGTACTCATGGTTGAACTCATGTCCTCCTGCTAAAAGGTGGTTTGCAAATGTGGAATTGGTCTTTCTATTTACAAAACTGATTATATGCTCTTCAATTCTTCATGGAAATGTTCTCCCTATTTGGCCAATACACAGTTTTGGGCAAGAGCCACAAGTCAGCTTACATACTCCTGATCTATCCGACACAAAAGTTATGTCTCTATTGTTTTTAATAAATTTACTTAGACTACGTTCACGCACTCTTTCTTCAAAAAACAGGCAATATTATTGGTTGGTTCACCCAAATATGACAATGTCCTATAAATGACGTTATCACACCTTGAATTTGGGTATACCTGGTCCATAACTTGCTTTTGCAGTTTTTTGGAAAGAATGGAGTCTATAATATTTAATTTATAAACGTTGTTGGCCGCGATTTGTTTGATCAAACTCAGCTCTTTCTGGAAAATACTTTCAGACAGTAGAATATTCAATAGTCTGTGGAACATACTATCGAATGCAGCAGCAATTTTATGCTGGTAAGGATGTGTGGAGGAATTATGTATTATAATGTCCGTGTAAGATGGTTTGTGGAAAATTGAGAGGGAGGTTAATAATTCAATAAATTTCCTTGACTCAATCATTACAATAAATATTAATTTGCATGTTTTTTGAACATGTTAGTCATGGATTTTTATCAAGTATCGATCAATTCCATCATATATTAAAAATAGCACGCCAAGTTCGATTAAATGTCAAGGTTTTGCACACTCTTTATTTCGATTATCGTGGCGTATTCCATCAGGACTTATTCTCGCATGCTCGTACGGTCAATAAGGAGTATTATCTTGAAGCTATGCGCCATTTGCAAGACGCAATACCGTATCCACCAGATTTGGCCCCCTGCGACTTTTTTCTGTTCACTGAATTGAAGAGACTCATGAAAAGACGGCGTTTTGTGACGACTGAGGAGATAAAAACCGAATCGCTGAGAGAGCTCAAGGCCATACCAAAAATATGCATATCAGACCTGCTTCGAGGATTGGAAAAAAGCTGTATCAAGTGTATTATATCTAAGGAGGACTACTTTACTTTATTCTCAGGAATCGACAAATCTCCGCTTTCAGGGATGAGAACGGTGCCCTCTCGACAAACCAATCCGGAGTCGCCTGCTCTCCGTCCAGACATTAGTTGAAAACTCGGCGGTGGATGCTTGGTAGCTTTTTCCACCAATGAGTGTTCAGCCCATCTGGGCCTGAAGCAGTAACGTTCTTGGAACCCACAAGGGTTCTTGGAACGTAATATGAGTTTACCGGGTTGCGCAGTTAATTGAGCTAAGGCGGCTGTCGAAGGTCTCTGCGAAAAGCTTTGAACATCGCTCGGGCTGGAGTATGTAAGTTGGTAAGCTGCGGCTATTCATAGATGCCCTTTCAGAACCATTCTACATGATCTGCGGTCGGCGGATTATCCACAACAACATCATATGACACCAATTTTCCAAATACTAGGTTGATCGGGCCTACTATACCCAGTACCTCTCAATAAAACATTTTTTTTTGAATATTATAAAAATTAATTTTTTTGTTTCAGATCAAATACTCTCATCATAATCTATATGGAGCAGAGAAAATAGGATGTTTCTCAAACATTTGTTGGGATAATCATTCTTACCCAATCGAGAAAATTAATCAGAAAATGTCTGAATCCAACCTTGAGAATACCGTTGGATATTTGGATGGTCTGGAAACTGTTCAAAAGCCCTTGGGCTCTTGCAGTATGTGCAATATGATACTGAATATGCAGGTGAAACCACTCTCAATAATAGAGGAAGGAAAAAAGTATTTCATTATACATTCTAGAAATTACAAGCAGACTGAAATCACTTTGAATGTTTGTAGGTATGTATATCACCTGGGCTGAAGAGTCTAAGGAAGAAAACGTATTTTTTTGTTCAAAATTGGCTTTATTTATCAACATAATCTCCATCAAGAGCCACTCAATCATTTCAGCGCTGCTCCAATATTTCAATACCACTTTTGTAGAACGATTTATTTTTGCCTCAAAGTAGGCCTCAGTTTCAGCAATAACCTCTTCATTCGAGCGGAATTTCTTACCGGTGAGCATTTTTTGAGGTCTGCGAACAGCCAGTAGTCGCTGGGAGCCAAATCTGGCGAATATATATGCCGGAGCAATTGAAAGCCTATTTTATGCAATTTTGCCACCCTTTTTAATGATATGTGACATTATGCATTGTCATGATGAAGCTTTTTTCACAAATGGGGTCGTTTTTACGCAATTTCGACCTTCAAATGCTCCAATAACGCTATATAATAGTCACTGTTGATGGTATTCCCCTTCTCAACATAGTCGATGAATATTACACCACGCACATTCCAAAATAACGAGGCCATAACTTTTCCAGCTGATTGTTGTGCTTCTGAGCGCTTTGGACGAGGTTTACCAGTTGCTCTCCACTAAGATGACGATCGTTTTGATTCCAGAGTGAAGTGATGGATCCATGTTTCAATAATTATCACATATCAACGCAAAAATTGCTGTTTACTTTGTTCAAACATGGCCAAAAACTGCTCAGGGCGCGGCACCCACTTTGAACAGAGTTTTTTCATAGTCAAATGCTCTTGCAATATAAAACCAACACGTTTTTTTATATCTTTTTTAATATCTTCGCAATGTCAGCTGACTGACGTAACTACACTTTTTGATCATTCAAAACGATTCTGTGGATTTTTTTATGTTTTCTGGTGTTACTGACTAATTTGTACGTCCACTGCGTTCTGCATCATCGGTGTCTCTACGACCACGTTTGAAGTCAGCAAACCAACGTTAAATTGTTATTTCTGATGGAGTGGGGTTCTTATAACACTTTTCAAGCCATCGCTGCGCTTGAACGGTATTTTTTTCTAGCTATTTACCGCTGAGGAGATCTCTCGTACGGAGCCGATCCTGGCAGCAGCATCGGGTCACGTTTATGATTAACATACATTGTCATCGGTTCTGGACCAGCATGCAAAATTTCAGGTCAATCGGATACCGAGAAGTGGGTCAAATTAAACTTGCAAGATTTATTAACATACATACAAGTCAAGTTAAATGAAAGCTTTAAAAAAACAAAACTCTACATTCAAATACATTTTTCAAACGTACAGGTAGGAATATTTCTCACAGTGAGCTGAAGGGATTTCAACAGATGACTATCTGAAATTGAAAATTGATTATTCTCAAGGTTGTAATCCAAGATGAAAAAAATTAAATAAACAGTGAGTTTCTGGCAAATGGACAATTTTCTCTTGCTTTCGATTTGTTGGAAAATTTCCCTTGTTAAATATCCGCATCATCTGAAACCTACATAACACGTGTCGAATCAAAAAAACTTTTATCATATAGCGATGAACAGAAATTAGCAAACTAGGAAAAAATTCATTCAATTGTTTATTGAAATTTCAGTTTTCAAAAATTTTACATTAATTTTTGAAGCCAACATCTTGATTTTTCCGAATTAAAAAGACTAACTTGATTGAACTTTTCACGTTATTTCACGGTGAAACTAATTTTTTTCTCAGTTTTCTATGGATAAAAACTATGCCTGCTATTTTCAAAATTGAAGTTTTTGAAACAGGGCAAGAAAAGTGAATAACAGTAGTTTTGGAGGTGTAAGGCTATGACGGTTGGCGGTTCGGTAGCCAGGCGGTTCGACGTGGGTGCTTTGTTCACTTACTCGAATTGACTGCCGTGTTGGTCGGTGGTTCAAGTCCCAGTCTGAACGATCGATTTTAACTTGCTATCGTCCAACCCGTGTTAGGAATCACACGTTGAAACGTGAGGTCTTGTTAATCCTTAGCTCGCAAAAATTTCCACTTCTGAGGGTTATTGTTCGTAGGGGTGCGACAGCTGGTTAACAGATTATTTTTTTAATTTTTTTTTCAGATTCTTTCAGGTATTCTTTCAGGAAACTAATCAGCTTCGTTGAGAAGCTGGGTTTATTTGGTAGAGTGTGAATAAATGTGAGCCACAATAAAACTCTTGTGGGTTGCGATGTAGGGTCGAATAGACCCACTCACTTTGGACTTAACCTGACTTAACCTAACCTAAGTTAACACTTTAGAGTATTTTGAAACAACCTAATATATGAAGAGTTAAAAAAAAGAATTTTTGTTTGATTGCTATCAACGTGTATAAAAAATTCTATGGAAGAATTGAGTGGAAACTTACCGAATAATTTATTTCTTATATTATCTGGCGGAAGATGCAATTTTCATATTTCTTGACTTGAGTTATTTATTTTACAGCATTGATCAGTCCAACTCGAACTGTAAAAATGGCTGGATTCCACTTGATCATGAAAAAGAATGTAGGCAGAAATCCACTTCAATGACTGTTCTTGCATACGACGAGACGAAAAATGAATTTGTAGGAAAAACTTTTTCGTATCCCAGTGCCTGTGAGTGCATCGTGAAAAGTATTTACTGAATTTTGTTGTATGACTATCAGTAATGAATATTCAATTTAAAATCAGTCTTCCGAATTAAAACTTTGTTTTCCCATCTATTTGTTTTATTAGTGAAATTTTTAATTATCTGGGTGAGAACAACAAGTTGATAAGAGTCTTATTATTATTGAATTTTCATCATAGGAAACATAGGTATTGATGATTCACTTTTTTTTTTTTTTT